TCCGCTGAACCTCAAGTCCAGGGTAACAGCAGTGAGAATGTCAGTTTTCTCTGACAGCTGGTGCAGCAACAGCTTGCAGAAAATAGATTTACTCTCCTAGGACTGCACAAAATGTTTGGGTAGAAACTCCCTCTTGAGCCCAAGGGAAGGTATTCCAGTGCTCCCCTGGGAGAATACTGTAGAGACTGCCACCAGCTGAAAGTGTGTTCGGCTGCCAGACAGCCTGTGTTGTTCCAGGACTAGCAGATAACGAACACAACGCCAAAATCGGTTGTGGGCAGCCATGGAAGCAAGCAACAGGATATCCTGGCAGAAAACACTCTTCCATTTAGCCCTGCAGAGAACTCCAGTCAAAAGCTTTCTGCCCTGCAGGCAGCTATCCCAGACCCGACAGAGGAGCTTGTTTCAGAGCAGGATTCGCCAGGGAGCACCCAACATACCAGCCCCTGCGGAGGGGCAGAACCTGAGCCTGGTCTAGGAGACAACCGCAGGAGGAGAGACCAAGGGCTGGCTGTAGCAGACAGGGCTGAGGCGGTGGCAGTAAGGACTCCCTGTCCCACCGCCACTTACCCCTTTCAAGAGGACAGCGGAGGTACTGGCATGGAGGAGCACTCAGAGGAGTCAGGCAGGAATACAAGCCTTGCTCTTCTCTGAGGCGGTTCTGAAGTTACAGCGTTAACCCAGAGCTGAAGGTGCTTTTTGATTTCTGCAAATCCAAAGCCCCATGAGCTTGGCCACAGTCGGGTCGTTATCTTTGGACGAAGTTCTTCATGTGACGTATGTGACAGTTGGTTAGCTCATTCTGAAAAATAATTAACTGTTAGAAAAGAGGCACTGCTAGGATACTAAAGCTTAGAAAGATCACTCGTGACACTTGAAGAGTGACTGAATTTTAACAGAAATTTGCAGAAGATACTTCTAACAGGATTTCTGAAGAGTGCTTGCTCTTGAGAAAGGAGAAATACTAGAAAATTTTTCAGTTATATGCTAATCCTAGGGTTAATTAGAGACAAAGCCATCGTTGGAAATGCTGCAGAGAACACAAGCAGCTAAACAATCGCCACAGGGCAAACGCATCCAAAGTCTGCGTGTTTCTTGCGATTCCTGCCTGTGCAGGCAGTTGGTATTTTGAATGTTTTCCTCCTTTAAATACCTTCTAATCTCACCTGCTGTGCACAGTGCTGTCACTGGGGTTTGCTAAAGGTAACTCACTAACGAGACCCACAGCTCAGGGAGAGCACGGTCCCTAGTGGAATGGGCAACACCGAGTGACCCTCAGCTCAAGGCCTCCTGAAGAACTCTCTCAGCCATGGGAGCAGAGGCTTGCCCGCCCACGGGAACAAGCCAAACTAGGTCATTTCTGAAGTCAGCAGCAGCATGTTATGCCCGTCCTGTCTGGACGTGTTACACGGGTAAGAGCAGCGACTAACTGTTCAAGTCTGAGCTTACAATCCTGACGACGTGCGAGTACAGGCTAATGGAATGTCCATTTTCAAGGTGTCCTTCGGATGAAAACAGATCAATATCCCTATACACAGCATAGGGCTGTTGTTGCCAAACCTACATCCTCAGTGTTTCAAGGCCCTTTTGGAAGTCAGCCTGGATTTCAGCAGCAATGCTGGATCCAGGGAGTGGGATGACTTAGGAAATAGCACTTCTATCTTATTATATCATAACCTGCTGTACCGTAGCAGGGGAGCAAAGCGAGATCTGCATGTGAAAATGATATTCCCCGCCCCCCCAAATGCTGCTGAAGCAATGCTAAAGCAATTATTCTGTTCAATAAGCAGTTCAAGCATCCTGCACAGTACCACCATTTGGGCAAGTTTTACAAGTTTTCCATAGAAACATCACTCAGAAGCCTTCAGTCCTGAAGGTGACACCCCAGCAGCACAGCTACTGCAACTCAGATTTTTCCCCAAGAGATTAAAACCTCTCATTACAGCCAAAAATTCTAATGAGGTGAAATTTGGCATTATACAGAAAGAAAACAGCGATCCTGTTCTCACACAGAGATAAGTTTGTTTGCAAATTCAGGTCTTTGCATAAAAGGATGAACTTTCCCCCCTAAGTCTGAGTCATCTGCTGTGGCTTCATGGCAGAGACCAGATCAAGAATAATCACTGTACTTCCTTTTTTTTAACACCTAGACACTTTTTCATAAAAAAGGGCTCTGGTAGTGGGTTGTTTCATCAGCAATTCATGTTCATAGAATCACAGAACGGTTTGGGTTGGAAGGGACCTTAAAGCCCATTCAGTTCCAACCCCCCTGCCATGGGCAGGGACACCTTCCACCAGACCAGGTTGCTCCAAGCCTCATCCAGCGTGGCCTTGGAGACATCAAGGGATGGGGCATCCACAGCTTCTCTGGGCAACCTGTCCCAGTGCCTCCCCCCCCTCTGCGGGAAGAACTTCTTCCTGATATCCAATCTAAACCTCCCCACTTTCAATTTAAACCTGTTACCCCTTGTCCTGTCACTACAGACCCTTGTAAAAAGTCCCCCCCAGCTTCCTTGTAGCCCCCTTCAGGTACTGGAAGGGGCCATAAGGTCTCCCCGGAACTTTCTCTTCTCCAGGCTGAACACCCCCAACTCTCCCAGCCTGTCCCCATGGCAGAGGGGCCTCAGTCCTCTAAGCATCTCCGTGGCCTGCTCTGGACTCGCTCCAACCGGTCTATATCCTGATGTTGGGGGCCCCGGAGCCGAATGCAGTACTCGTATGTTGATGAATATAACTATACCACTGAAGTACAGATACATACTCTCTTCCTACTCAAAACCCACATTAAGAAAATACCTGAGCAGCTCTCGAAACCACCATTTTCCACCCTGGTACACAGAAAGCCTCCCAGGGTTTGCAGGCTGCCTTCCTTAAGCCCCTGGATTAAAGCCAGAACTGGCCTGTTTTCAGACAGCACACACTGCTTTAAAACAGTGGGTGCCCAATCAGACAGTTTAAGTGGTCCGCAAACTGATGTTAAAAAGAAACAAAACCTTGCTTTAAATAAAATGCCACAAATGTGTGTTACTGTGAAACTCTGCAATATTGGCTATGAAAAGTTAATAGCATGCAAGAGTCCATAGCTGCTACTGATCTAGGAATAATTATCTTAAAATCAACACATCACTAAGAATAGTCCAAGAACTACAGCAGAATTCAGAGTGATGAGCAACAACTACACGTGGACAAAGGACCCATCAAACCCAGCAGCCACTGGTTGATACCCGAGGAACCTGCACAGGAAGAGAAGCAAACACGTGGCAGGAGGCACATTCAAACAAGCTGAAGACATAATCCAAACCAGGAGTCTAGTCTAAAGAACACGGACTAAGAAGGTAACGCAAAAAAAAACCCCAAAATATCATTCAATTGATTTATTTTGTACATCAGATTTATAAATTACTCCCATTTGGACAAGATCTGCTGTGAAAGTGGTCAGAGGACTGGGTGGGCTGGTCAGTGAAGTTAAGTTTGTTGACAACCAAGTGGTCACAACTGTTCATGGGAGACAGAGCGACACCACGACCTGTTGCAGAATCTGTACTGGGCATTTCAAGTTCACCTCAAAGCAGGGTCTCAGCGGACGGATGGCTCCAAAACACTCTATCCAGCCATAAATTTCCTACAATAAACACAAAGCAGTCATTAACCAGTGCTTCCAGCAGCCAACACTACAGGCAGGTTTCAAACCCCTCCAGTATCCAGGCAGGAAGTTTCTGTTAGAGAGGCCGACACAGGCACAGCGGAACGCAGGCATGCAGGCCTAGCGTCTCTGTGGAGGGACTCACAGGCCACAACAGAAACCTC